GCATTTTTTGTGAGGGAACTTGGGAAGTATTTTATCCTAAGGCTCTCATCATTCGCTATTTCCCCGGCTTCTATCACATATCGAGCCACATGTTCGACAGTAGATTCCGTCGTATCCCCTGAGAATTTCATAAATTTTGGTACTTTCGTCCTAGGAGGTAACTCTGTTTGAAGGATGTAATCTACTATCGGGGATGTAAAGTTTGGTCGAGTAAAACCAGTGTTTACTCCATTCCGAGCCATAATCCTTTCGACCATGGCCGCTAGATTGTTGTCAATGGCTATATTATTGCGTCGAACTTCTTGGACCACATGATCTGCATCCTGGTTTTGGTTTATCACGACCACTCCTTGGTTTCCTTCGTCTAGAACATGAACCTGGTTCGTTTGATTTTCTCTTACCGCCTCAACTACAGGAGGTTCGACTCTAACCTAGTTTTCTAAGTGTATTTCCCTTGCGTTTCTTACGTCTTGTCGAGGGACGTTCGCCATTGTGTTTTGATTTCTGGGTACAGGGGGTACTCCCATGAACTCAACCAACCGCGTCAACTGCAGCGTCAATTGTTGGTTGGTTTGGGTAGTGTTATGGATCAATGGCTGGAAGATCTCACCCATAGTTTGGGACAAAGTCTGAACCATTTGCATGTTGCTCTCATCCATCTGTTGCCTTAAGCATGCGACTGAGGTATTGGTCAAGTTGGGGCCTTGCGTCGAATATCCCAGACTCTGGCCCTGGAAACTTCGACCAATGTTCACCCTAGATCTTGATCCTTGCAACGGAGAAGTCACAGGGTTATCTGAAAAGATGGGGGGAGCATTTTGAAGCCCCTGCATCACAGTTGTAGGCATTCCATACGTTGGATTCCTAGGCATCTGTACCAATCGAGGAAGAGGATTTTGCCTAGGCAGGGGGCTTCTTTCTAATGGTGTCTGAGGATTTGACACTTGGGGCCCGATATATTATAATACTGGTTGAGTATAGGGTCTTATTACAGTCGACCCAACCCCTAATATCGAAGGTGTTGGTACAGGCCTTACCGGGAGCCCTATTTGCTCTCCCGTTGATGGTATTGAAGTCGACGCTCCGTCGTTTCTCGTTTCTTCGCTAGAGCCATTTTGTTGGCCATTTGGCTGAACGGGTTCCATCGCCATATTCCTAGTGTTACGTCTTACTAAACGTTCTTCGTTCGTAGTGGTTATTCTGCCACTTCTTAGTAACATACAATGTATTTTGAAGAAAAGTTGATAAGGCTTATATTTTTAGATTCTTATGATCTCAAAACTTTCTTTGTTCAGCACTGTCCCACCAGGTGTGCCATTTTGTTTACCGTGTTTTTTGGTAAACAATCTCTGGTCTATCAATTTAGTGTCAAATTGACTAACTTGCAGGATTGACCATACGAAATCCTAGGATATGTGCTGAAGGGTGTTTCTATTTGAACCTATCTAGAAATGTGTTTCAACAATACTAAGAAGAAATAACTTAAAAGGGGGACAGAAATTATCCACTATGTTTAAAGGAAAGGAGGAAGAAGAATTATTAGAGGGAAAAGAGATAAAGGTTTTTTGGGAGGGAAAGACCTAATCGAAGTGGTAATGATGATCAAAAGGGAAAGACGAAACAAATAAATAAAAGTACTTGACGAAAGTAAAGAAAACAAAGTAACTTCATTGAAAAGATAAAGGATGGTGTGTTTACATTACGTACATTCTCTATAATACTCTCTTTCTCTACGCTCGGATACTTGGAGTAATTTTAAGAGTGACTTGTACAACAGTAAATTACAACACACCAAGTTTTATGTCTAAGACTCCTATTTATAATAATAATAGTAACTGCTAATAACCTCCTTAGGCCATCTATTCTTGACAAGTGTCAGACCGCATGCAGTCCTTTATCCGATGAGAGCCACTTGTCCTTCTTAGTCATAAGAAAATATAACTACTCCCTCCAAGATTTGAATTTCAAAAACTCACTTCGTCCCTTCTTCTAAATCTCGGTCGAAGACCACTTCGCTTGCTTAGGTCGAAGTGTTTAATTTCAAGACTTCAATTTTCCTAAGTCCTTGGAAGACTTGTAGGTCTTTTTAATATGCTGAAAATAGCCTCCAACATGAGTCATCGAATTGGTGAGCTAACAGAAGGCAAAGGATCAAAGTATGATCCAACTAGGGATAACATGTCCCTGATGCAAAGTACCCTAAATGATCAGATGATCATTTATCAGCAAGTTTGAACTAGAGAAGGTTGAATTAACTAATGTATCATCACTCAAAGATTTGAAATGTTGAACACATGATCAACCAAGCAATCATCAAAATCCAAAGCAAAAATATTCAAAAATATGAATAAAAAATAAAATAAAATAAAATAACAATTTTAAAAATGATTAAAAAAATGGAAATTAAAAGAAAAAATTCAAAAGAAGCATCAACATGCAAAACAAATGGTGGAGAAATTTATGAGAAGTTCATAATATTGCAAATAAAAGAATCTCAAAAGTTGAATGCAAAGATATTTGAAAATGATAAAAAAAATTAAATTGGAAAATAAAAATTAAATAAAAATAAAAGAAAATATGAATTAAATGCAAAATGATTTTTAAAAATTATGCAAAAACTATATGTGGTAGAAAATATTTTTATAAAATTATGAAAAAAATTGGAGTAAAAAATGATAAAGGAGTTATTTAACATAAATCAAAAAAGAAAAAGAAAATAAAAAAATTTAAAATGAAATGTCCAACGACTAGAATGTGTGTCACATGATCATTGATCAGAATTTGAATTTTTCCACCAACGCGCGCGAACACCTTCATCTTCAACCTTTAACTTAATTTCTGCAAATCACGAATTAGGTGTTTTTAGCCTGAATCAAGCAAGGATTCAATACCAACATCCATTATCGTCCATGTCTCTCTACATCAGAGCAATTGATTTGCTCTGAGCAGAGAGAATTTACTCAAAAATGTGAAAAATCCTATTTCTTCAAAGTAAAATTAAATGACTAATTCTAAAGATAAATTCAAGGTAGGTGAGGGCTTTTGATCAGTGGAACAAGACGAACACGTTGGTAGCTTGTCTACTTATAAATGTTACTGGTAACTACCTTTTCAGTTGAAGCTTCAAAGGTCAAAAATGGTAGAAATGGAGAGCTTGATTCAGGAAGCTTCAAAGCACGACAATGGTTTAATTAGCTTCAGAAGGTGCCGATGAGTGATTATGGGCGAAAAAATGAAGTAAAAAAGCTTGATTTGAGAAAATGGATTTCTGATTTTTGGAGGTATCGGGTTCAAATGGTTTCAGAGTTTCTTTGACTATCCAAGCTTGGAAATGAATGCAAATGCTTCTTCTATTTATAGGAAACGTGTTGAGCAGCTTGTACGTGTGAAAGGGATCTCGATTCGTGTGAATTAGGTCAAAATTTTGATGATTTGTAAAGTGTGTGAGATGAGTGATGAAAAGCATGATTTGGGTATGAAACCTGGTCATTTTATGTTTGTTTGCACGCGTTTTGCTTTGCCAAAAAGGTTGTGCATGTGCTTGTGGTCCCAGATTGAGATTGGAGTGAAAATCAGGACCTAAAACTTGTGTGGGGAGCAGAGTTCATGGTACCATGTTTGAACTTAGGCCAAATTGAATTCACTTGTGCGTTTTTTAATTTTCTTTGTGCCAAATAATCTTCTCATGGTAAAGAATCAAATGCAAAAAGAACCACATCAAATGGATGCTTGTATTAAAAATGACATTGAATCAAAGTTGAGGTCATGACCTGAAATTGTAGGGCATGCATTAGGTCGAACAAGTCTTCGACCTACTTTTATGCACACATTGGCAGCTGAGCAAATCCTAAAATTGATGGACTTAGAGGTTGAATTGATGTTTGATTCTTGAAGAAAAATTGTAGGAGTTCAAATGTGACATTTGGCTAATTTTGTTTCGATAGATTTTATATGTTATCGATTCTTTCCAAATATTCGATAGTTTTGTCCTGAATATTAGAAATTTTCGCTATTTCTTCATCATTTTTCTAGAAATCCTGGAATTTTTACTTGAAATTTACAAAATGTTCAACATTTTTCCATTATTTTGTAAAATAAAAAAAATTGAAAATTCTTCATCCAAACAGTAAAAAATGTTATAAAAAAATTCTGATATCTGCCTCTAAAATCTAATGTTCATCAAAAACAGAAAATTTTTTAGTAAGGAAAAAGCAAATATGGGAGATGACGGGAAAAACCTCATATAAATGATGAGTGGTTCAAATCGATTAATTTATAATTTTACTAGAGTTTTGATTTAACCCATTATTATAAAATTGATTTAAAAAAGTAAGAGATGTCACTATATAAACTATTAGTAAATTCTATCTTTATCCGATGTGACCCTTTAGTAAATTCTATCTTTATCCGATGTGACCCTTTGGTTTTTCAAATAAATTCATCTATGGTTTTACATGTTTAACTATTATTTTCACTTGATCATATAGTCTATTTTCCTCCCTAGCTTGATTACAAAGTTGCAAGAGTACCCTTCTGTCCCATCTCGGTTTAAAACCATTTACAATCAATAAACAATCTGCTTGCATTGCACTAATTTCCCATGAACTTTTAAAAAATGCCAAGGAACTTTCCAACCAACCATGAATTACACTCTCCGGTCACTATTATAAGTAACAAATTTCTTTTTAGATTTATTGAATAATTGATGTATTTGATATATAATAATGTTTAGATACATCATTTATTCAATGAATCTAAAAAGATTTTTGTTGCTTATAATAGTAAATGACCGAAGGGTGTATAATAGAAAGAATGGAATAACTATGTCTCTCTCTCCACATGCAAATATAGGAGTTAGAAATAAAGAGAATGCACTTCAATTATACTGCTATAAACTGATCACAAAACATTGCAGCATCTGTAGCTTTATCATTCTATCTTCTATAGAACTTTGTATCGAGATGATAAACCGCAAAGAGAATGACTTTTTTTATATAATCTCATGAAGCAAGATTGCTGAGGCCAAAATAGAAAATTCCCTGCTTAAATGCATTAACAGCATAATCAACTTGAAAATGACCAAACTGTGATTTCAATCTAACTCCACATCCCATTCCAGCACCATATCCTGGTTTACCTTGCCTTAAAGCTGGATTTCCTGAATTTTCAACAGATTAACAGCATGAGAACACATTTGAAATGGTTTTGGAATAAAGACTAAATAATAGCGTGTACCGAGCAAAATAAACATGGTCATGTAGATCAACTTAAGAGAAAAAATCGGAAGTTTTCAACACAAGATCTTACTCACCGGGTACAAGATAACCAGACCGCAAATCTGTTCCACAATCCATGAAAACCGCACCCTCCAACACCTTATTCTATAGTAAAGAAGACATTACTTAATTTAGCGCAACTAACTGTTTTAACAATGTTTGTCTACTTTCACTTCCAGAGGCTCGAAAAAAAGAAAGAAAAACTGATTGGTTTAAATCATTCATACATATCATGTGCTAAACATTCATCAAAGCCAGCCATGATCTCACGTATTATGCAATTTTACGTTATATGGTTGTTGTTTATAAAACTATCACGTACCAAAGGGAGGGTCAGTTCGCTATTAGCCACCAGACATGATCTACCAGATCCGACAGCTCCTTCTCCATACCCTCGAACACTCCCAAGCCCTCCAATGGAAAATGCTTGGTAAGGAGCCATGTCCCCAACGATCGAACCACCTGTAAGTCTGATAGTAGAAGAAAGGATGTAATCATAATCACATAGTTTAATGTTTATTGAGCCGCAAGAAGAGGAAATGGAAATATGGTAACTCGATTTCAGGTCAATAAAGTATGTCAAATTGAAAAACATTATGTATGTGAATTGTCAGAAATTGCCAACCTTGTCAAGAGAAGTGTTGGTCCAAGTTTGATTCCTTTCGAAGCAGCAAATTTGAATCGGTTGAAAATTATCATCTTTGAAAGAACTGGAATACCTTGTTCTATTTGAAGATTAAACTGAAAAAATTAGGCATTCAGTCAATGGAATTGATGCACGAAACGACTATTTATTTTGGTGATAAATTCATTCATATAAACTACATTGGTTCAAAATTGGAACTAGAAAACTAACTGGAAATAAGAATATAATGCATTACATGAAAAAAGCTATGATCGTTTGCCTTTGCAAAGCGAGATTCATGCTTTAACACTACCATACTGTCATGTGGACTCCCACTGCAATAAGCAATGCATATCATATCATATCATCAAAATCAGTTCGAGATTTCGAAAACTGCAATATTAAAATCCCTGGTTACCTGTAAGTCAAAGCAAACCCATCATAGTCCCTACTTATACTGCGTCCATCATCGTTAAATGGGCGAACATGCTGCACGAAAGTTCAAAATGTTAGTTTCTAGTTTCTATTTTGCCTATAACCAAAACAAAAAGTGCGCGCAAACCGTGCTTCTATACTAAGTCAGATTCACAAAAAGACAAATACGAACCTCAAATTTTATGCTGGATGTGCTGCTCCACACTGAACTCACAGGTTCCTTCAAGTCCATTCCAACCGATAATCTAGATAAATTTACTCCTCCACTTCCCGAGCGGGAGAAGTTGTTCATAGGAATACCATGGGTTCCAATCTCTGGTGAAAAAGAATGCTGCAAAGCGTAAAACGACAACCACGAGTAAAATTTAATAGTTTATTGCACACCATTGTTTTGCATAATCCCTCATGCCATAAAGTAAAAAAGAACAAAACCAACCTGCACTACAAAAGACTGATGAGCAAGACATTCTTGCCGTGGCCTCCTATACGCGATTAAGATATTTGAATCATACAAACCCTTGTCCCATGAAACATCAAGCTTCTCACTTCCACCAAATAAGTTCGGGTGTTTGATGCAGAGACTAATCATGAAAACAAAATGTAAGTCCGTCTATCAGTCAATCATTCACACAATTCTCAGAAAACCAATACCCTCCTCAACCTATGTAGCACCGATACTTTAGATTAAACCAATGTCATGTGTCCCACCGACACACGTGACTATTTTCAATTTTTTCAATTTTTCTCAAATTATTAACAGTGACAGTGATATGTCAGGTGTCTGTGTTATGTGTTATGTGTGGTGTCAGTGTTAGTACTTCATAGCCCTCAACAATGGAATGCACATCACAAACTGAGAATCTTACCTTCCAATTACTAATGAAAGAGGATTGCCAGCACTACTGTTCAAGGAAAATGCAAGATAATAATTGGTTATTAAATATATAAAAGCAAATAAAAAATATATAATTTATTGGTGAAAATAGAAAATGAATTGAGGTGAAACCAACCTGAAGGTATTGAGCATCAAAGAAGTACATAGTTTGTGAGTAAAATCGACATTAACGTCAATTTTTGCTGTAAAACAAAAACACTCATAGTAGATAAAACAAAGGTTTTTGAAATTGAGAAAGAAAAATGATGAAGTTGAAATTGAAATGTAATTTCTAACCTTTGCCAGCATGGATGCTCTTTTGAGCTCCCATCGCATTAAAAACGCATCAACCATTAAAGAAACAAATTCTGAAAATATGAAGTAACGTAAGAGTGTTCTATGTTTGATGGATTATATAGTGTGTATGTTGGAGACAAGACAATGTTGTGTTGCTTTAAGTTTCGAAGTTATTCCGAAACGGTTCTGCGTGCTAGCGTGCGTGTGTGTTTATTCTGTTCCTACCTTTCAACTTCTGTTATCCCTTTTGCTTCTTCGCACTCCACACACACATTGCATTGCACGTGATACCATGATGACTAGTAATTGGGCCTTCTTGTTGTTAAAATGTCGGCCCAAGTCTTATCATTGGGCTACCTCTGATTCTTATATGAAAATTAGACTTTTTAGTTTGACTCATTTAGTTTTGAAGTCCCTTAATTTAATTTCAGTTTTCACTTTGGTCTCTTATATAATAAACGTTACAATGTAATTCTTTAACAATCGTTCCGTTAAACAACTTGATCCATTATGTTAGTTTTGTTGTGAAAACGTTAAGTATGCTGATGTGGCATGTCAACAAGGATTGGAGTTTATTTGTGACTCAGCATATTGCAATTTATAAACCGTGTAACCTAATTTTATGTCCAATGCAATATTTTAACGTTAGGTTACTATTCATCATCTTCTTCCTCCTTCATTCTTCCTCATTCTTCATTCATATGTGAACATGTCAATAAACTCCAATAACAAAGCGAAATCAAACACCCAAAATTATGGGTAATTTGGATCTGTTGTGATATGAAAGAAAAGGATGGAGTGTTGATGTGAAGAAGAGTGTGTAATGCGTACTATTACGGATTTGAGTAGTGTCAATGTTGGTCTGTTATGGATCTATTGTTTTAACTAGTATTGTATGATATTGTTTTATAACTAGTCTATCATGCATTATAAAGAACAAGTTGATGAATCATGTATATAATAAGTTGATATTGCTTTAACAAAATATGTTGCTTTATAAAAGCATGTGTTTTTGTTACTGATACAAAAAGGCAATACAATAGCATGTGTTGTTGACACTGGTACAAAAAGAGCAGTGATACAAAAGGACATTTGTTCTCTGCCACCAATACAACAAAGCCTAAGTTAGTGTTCACAAAAGCCTAAATAAAATGTTCACATGACACTGAGTTACACACCGAGTTACACGAACATGACACCGAGTTACAAAAGTGGATCAAGTTGCTTCAAGTTGAGTTGATGTTTCATGACTTGCTTCAGGGAGACTTGCTTCAGGCTGACTTAGTGCAGGAAGACTTGCATCAGACTGAGATGCCACAGGCTGAGTTGGACCAGACTGACTTGGTTCAGGTTGAGTGGTCTGACTTGGACCTGGATGTTTGCAAGTTGCTTTGTTATGCCCTATCATATGCCATTTACTGCACTTGATGCCAAAATTAGTTCTTTTTAGCTGAGTGTCATCCCTTATGCTCTCTGAGGCATCTCTAGTCCTCTTCTTCTTTGGCCTCCCTGGTTGCCTTTTGATTGATGGTGGTTGTAACTCAACATAACATTTTTTCTCCCAAAGTGATTCCCCATTGACTGGAAAAATGACAGATGCATAGCATGCTTCATATATTTGTTTCTTGTAGCACTCAGGCACATAACTTTCAATCTTTAATTTTTGAGATTTCATGCAAGATATAGCATGACAGCATGGTAAACTTGTCAGCATCCACTTTCTGCAAGAACACACATTGATTGACAGATTCATAATGTATTTTTCTCCATTATATGAGATGTGTCTCACCTCGTAATCGTACTTTTCTGCATGTCTGTTAAATAGACAAGAACTCAACCACACAACATAATCACAAATGTAAAACAAATATTTAGATGAACAAATACCTCACAATCCAGTTGTTTGTTTTTTCAGATTCTTTTGCAATCTATTTCTTGATATTGGGTAGAATTTCACCTCTAAACTTGACAATTTTTTGTCTGTTTGACTCCCATCTTTGCATGAGATATATTCTAATTTCTTCAATCATTGTTATAATTGGCTTGGACCTAGCTGTCACAAATACCGAGTTGAAAGCCTCTAACATGTTGTTCACTAGGGTATCACACAAAGGATTGTCCCTCCTGGGGCAAAAGATCCACTTTTGTATTTCTCATTCCTTTGTACACTTATCTAAGTTTTCAAGTTTACTTACAAATAATTCCCAGCCTATTTCAAATAGACCCCATTCCACCATTTTCCCCATACACCCCAAACCAAGTGTTCTGGGACTCGTTTGACCGGTTCCGCAAGTAAACTTGCGTTAAGAGGTCAGAGGTTGTTCGCGCGAAAACTGCGTGCGAACAAATTGGCACGCCCAGGGGGACCCTAAGGTTTGGGTGCATGCATTTGCGTAGTGGTAAGATGGTGATACCACGTCCAAACGAAGAACCGTCTTTGGAGGGAAATACGGTTATGACTCAAACAACTGATATTAACATCGACATTGTGTCTGCGGTGTCGACGGCTCAAGGTGGACTAGTCGTGACGCCTAGTTTCAAGGTGGGCCATGGTGACAGGGGCTGGGGGCAATATATGCCTAGTTTCATAATGCCAGCCCCCAGGGCCTTTGGGATGCCGACAAAGTTTATGTCGAGCCTGCATCACTGTGGCCCACTATTTGGAGAAAGCTCTTCGTCAAAATTCTCCCCATATCAAGGATTAGGGCCTTCGACGAACCAAGTCATGAGGCCTCCAGGTTTTAGTGTTCCATCACTTTCGTTCCCAACTTTTACGTCAAGTTCTGTCGCCGTCATGAGGCAACAAATGGACGAAAGTAACCACAAAATGGTCCACATGCTGACTCAGCAAATGGGCACCATATTAAGGCCACTAATACACGATTCTACTCAAAGTTACCAACAACTGGCGAATCAGATGACGCGGATAAGTGATTTTTTGGGTGCTCCTAGGGTTATAGGTCGACAGACGCCTCCACTGCGACCGGAGACGCCAGGTCGACAAGACGAAGTCTTTGACGAAAAAAATTAACCAACATCCTCACGAGGCTGAACACACACCTAGGGTGGCCCAAAGGCCTCCCGTCGTTTTAGTTCATAAAAACCAGGACCCCGACTGTATGGTCAGGCAGATTCGACGCGAATCCATGGCTGGTGAATCTAACTTAGAAACCATGGTGGAACAAATCATGGTTCGCAACGGGGTGAATCCAGGCCTTCGAAGACCAATGTATATGTCCCCACTACTAGACGTTGTCCTACAAACAGAGTTTCCCAGATGGGCAAACCGTTGAGCATGTTGCTAGATGCCAAACCGAAGCTGGCGACATAGCGAACAATGAGGATTTAAAATTAAAATACTTCCCTAATTCCCTCACCAAAAATGAGTTCACTTGGTTCACCACTTTACCCCCCACAGTCCGTCTAGACCTGGGCGCAATTGGAAAGATTGTTTCATGAACAGTTTTACATGGGACAGTCAAAAATTAGTTTGAAAGAGTTAGCCAGTGTTAAATAAAAGACTACATAGTCAGTAGATCAATATCTTAACAAGTTTAGATTGTTGAAAGCATGATGCTTCATGCAAGTCCCTGAGCACGAACTAGTCGAAATAGCGGCTGGTGGCCTAGATTATTCTATCAGGAAAAAATTAGATACACAATATCTCAGAGATATGGTTCAACTAGCGGATATAGTCTGTCAGGTTGAGCGTCTAAAAAATGAGAAAACCCAGGCCAACATATATCGTAAAAAAGAGAAAGTTTTGTATGTGGCCGCAGATGAATACTCATCTACTGATGAGAAACTTGTCGAGAGTAACATTGTCAACGTGGCTGAACTAAAGTCATGACCCTCGTACACATGCAAATCATTAAAACCGTCAAATGGAAAAAATTCAGTTGAAACTGAAAAAATAGGCAAATATGTCGCAAAAACGTATACTTTTGATGTATCTAAGTGTGATGAAATATTTGATTTGCTGGTTAAAGATGGTCATATTATTGTCCCTCCTGGGGCAAAAGATCCTCCGTTAGAACAAAAGAAAAAAAGGGGATTTTGTAAATTTCATAATTTCTTTGGTCATAAGACATCTCAATGTGTTCTTTTCAGGGACTTGGTGTAGAAAGTTTTGAAGGAAGGTCGACGTCAATTTGGCGAAAGGCCCAAAATGCAAGTGGACACGGATCCTCTGAAAGTAAAAGAGGCTTTGTATTCTGAGTTATACGATTGCATGATGGTGGAGGCTACTGAAGGTCTCAATGAACGCCATACAACTGAAACGGTTAGATGCATGATGATCGAGACTACTAATGGTCCCAACAAGAAGACTGAAGAGAAGCTTGAGATAGTTTACCCTCAAGCTGGCGAGAGTCTGACTGATTTCCAAAAGAAATGTAGGGTGAGCGAGTTGAAGGTTGTGTTATGCCCGAAGTGCAACGCTGTGTTCAACGAAAAGTCCTATGAGAAGTATGAAGCAACCAAAGTGGCACTACTGGAAGGTAAGTCGTAGATCTTTCAGTTCGTGTTTGACAAAGACAGTGCTCCTCGACGAAACAAAGAATACAGAAAGTTGTTCCAACCGGCACGACCCAAGACTTTTGTACCACCCTCAAACACCCCATAGGATAAGTGGATGGCGCTTGTAAGCCAGCAAGGAAGAAAACTTCCGAAGTGGAAGGCTTTGGATCTAGAGAAGGGGGAAAAGGCATCAGACAAGGATGCTGAGCCCAGAGGTTATAGGGTTTCTCCCAAATACAAAGGAAAAAAATCCCATGACAAGGACCCAGTGGAGGAAATATCAACGAAATAAGAAGGCAACAAGAGAAGCCTCGACTTCGGCTCTGAAACCTATGGGACTCGCTGGCCTAAAACGGTAGCATCCACATGCGAAATGGGTCAAAAAAGGAAAAATTGTGATGAACCAGACAACGGCCGTGACGGTCAAGACTTCAAGAGAGAAGGGAGTAGTATCAACCCAGATTTTGGATTACACGTCTAGAGGTGAAAACAAGAAAGAGCCGGAGTATTCTCCCT